GCAGGACCGCTTGGTTGATGAAATGCCACAAAAAATTAGGGTCCCCCTCAACCTTGAGTAAAGCAGGGTGACGTGCAAAGAAAGCAGTAGGGTAAGCTTTGTTCACTTGCTTTGTAGACGTTTCATGAAGTGTCAACGCTCCGATTGAGTTCACAGTGAGATCCAAAACAACAACGCTCCTTCTATACTGCGTATGCTTCCACTGGTTTTAGCTTCTGGCTTTCAGTCCTTTCCCCAACGGTACTCACCATCAAGAAGAGGTGAGCTCCCCGTGGCCAGGACGACCTTTTCATGGCAGGTCCGTTGGTCCGTGCGCGACGGCGCACGACGGAGACCTTCCTTCGCAGAGACGATCGCTATAAACACGGTCTACGCTACCAAGCAGTGTCGTTCATCCTCAGTCTGTACCGGTCCATACGACTTCCACGACTTCTTCGTAATGTGTTGCGTTGTGCTGTACGGCGCTTTTGGACAGTTTCCGCAGTTTCTCTCATTCACATGGATGAACTGAATGCACCAGCCAATTGGACCGAAGGCTACTCCTGCTGTTGGCGACCGTTCCACTCCTAAGGCGTCCGTGGCGGATTCGACGGCTTCGCTCCGTGGGACGGCGCCGTCTTCGTGTCGTGTCGAAACGGAACAGGAGCAACTTCGTCTCCCAGGAGCGGGTGTTTTTTTCGGTGTTTTGGGTGTGGTTTTTGGTGGCGAACACAAACAATCAGCAGTTTCGACAACTTTTTGAAGATCTTTGGGGCAATTTTCCAAGTGAAACTCATGCATCAGCGTGTTCTAAATTTTGCTCTCTTTTTGCAGGCTGCTGGACGTCCCAGAGCAGCTGTGCGTCGCGAACTGAGGTGTTCAGCTTCGCCTAGAAGTTCGAGAAAGCTGTATCAGGCATGATCTCGGCAGGGTCATAGCTCAAATTGCCTCGAGTTCGGATCCGGTTTTGTACCAGAACAAGCGGGCCGAGGCAAATCCGCTTGTGCCGCCTCTGGTGGAACGTTTGAGGAGAATCGTGAGGCTGGGGCTCACGTGGGGCTGTGCCTGGCAATGCATGGAGCGGAACAAATGTATTTCTTATTTGATTTGTGCCATGCTGGCCGCTGGCGTATGCAAAAAAAGTCAAATGCATGAGAACAACTTGCTGAGGCTTTGAAGGCTTGCCTGGCCAGGGAATACCGAAGCTTCTTTCGGCCCTTCGAGGAGGGAGGGGCGGGGCAAGAGCTCGGCCCTTCTTGAGTATTTTGTCCCTTGCCATGAAACAGAACGGTTCTTGTCCTAATCTTAACTTCTTTGTGCAGCTGACAGCACCAGTTTCCCTACCCCACACCAACGCCCGACAGCCCGACCGCCAGGCCGACTTCTATGACGAGGTCCTGACCTCGGACGTTCGACACGTTCCGCGCGTTCAGCGACCGTTCAGCGGAACGCCCTTTCTTCGGTCTGGAGGACGTGAGCTTCACGGATCCTTTGAATCAGCTGAAGGGTCAGGCGGGGAACGGAAGGTCCGATTTTCAGGTGAGATTCAGATTCCCAAGAAACGATTTGGAAGAAGGACAGTCCTTACTTTTTGCAAAGCACGCAGTCCTTCCTTTCAGCAGAAGCACGAAGTTCCGAGAGTTGGGGCCGTCCGAAGTTCGCCGCCCAGTGGCTTGCGTTGGCTCAGACAGGCCAGCTACAAGGCCAATGTGGAGATGCTCTCTGGGAACTCTTTGATTGGGACGCTTGGTCGCTGTCAAAGCGAAAACGCGACAAGTCTTGGAGGTCAAATAACTTTATTTTTTAAAACAACCTATTGCTGCTCAGGAACATCCTGTTCTCTGACGCCTTTATCGACTTGCACAGCGTAGAAGAGGCAAGTGAACCCAAGATATCACAAGATTTCTCTACCTATTTAGGTTGCGAAGATGCTCCTTGTTCTCATGGAGGAACATCAATCTGCAAGCTTTTGCACCGTATGTGTGGAGACGTTCGCGCTTTCTTCGTGATCAGGTCCCTGGAGAAGCCACGCGCTTGCGCACCCGGTGGACCTTAGGCCCGGTGGACCTTAGGCCGAGTTTCAAGAGTGTCATGGAACCGTAGAACATGTGCATCAGGATGATAATATCATCGCAGCTGGTGAGAGATCATGTGTTGAAGAAACACACGCACACTTTTTCCGCTCGGTGTTGGCTTCCAGCTTGGAGGATTTGCCTTCAAGCTCCTTCCGTGGAAGCCCAGAGCGCTCTTCAGTGGTGTCGGATCACACAGATGTGTCCGATGTATTCTGACCCAACTGGGCTTTGGGTTGCGACTTGATGATGTACCGCATGCAGACTCTGTGCCTCTTTTTTGGGGGGCGAACGACTCGCGGAGGTCTCCGAGTACACCATTGATGAGCGAAATGCCAAGGTGCGAAAAATGTCCGTCCGTCCAAAACGCCCTGGTTCCCTTCTTCTGGGCGAAACTGACGGGGGGCGCAGGGCGAAACCTCCTGTCGTCCAGGTGCTAACGCAGCGGGATTATTGGGACACCCTGAGCTTGGAGAAGGAAGGCGAATATGTCGAATGCCTCAGTGTGTTTTGTAGTTTTTTTGTTGTTGTTGTGTTGTTTAGACGAACAAGACATCACATGGAATCAAAGCCTTTGTATTATGAACCTTTCAACAGAACAAGTTGACCTGACTGAATGCCCCAGGTGCCTGAAGTCCCCCTCAGCGGATTGAAGGAGAGTTGCATTTATGTGTGAGCCCTGCCTTTTTGCCATGGATTTCTTGGATTCATGATTCATGTGTTTTTTCCTTTTGCAGGATTTGGTGTCCCAGCTACTTCCAGATCCACTGAAACCTCTAGAGGCTCAAGAGCCCCGTGTGGCTGAGGACGCCGAAAAAGAGCGATCAAGGAGGGCAGGGGAGTAAAAACCATCCATCCACCATCCACCTGGCTGTGGATTTCCATCGCGGAATCCACCAGGCACCAATGCCAGTCACCAGCTCATCCTTACGCGTTCTGTGTTTTACGCGTTCTGTGGAACTCTTCCAGATCTTTGGGGTTTTACGGCTCGTCGTTATTTTTCTATTTTTCTTATGGGACCTGACTTGCAACGCTGCCCTGGGAGGACGCGGGCTGGGCACTTCTGCGGCGGGTGCGGGGCTTAATGTCAAGTGACACGGCATCTCTCGATGCCATTTCACGTAGTTTGTGTTGCAATATCTCCATTTCAGTGTCCATGTTGTGTTCTTTTTGGAGGAAAAGGTCGAGTCTCAGTCTCTGTCCTTCAAGGCGAACGTCTACCGTGTCTATCGGGACCAGTCAGGACGAGAGACGGACCGTTTGTTCGAAACAGCTGTCAACGGTGGACGTGTGAAGCCCACCGAAGCAGATGGAACTGGCGCTTGGTAGCGGAGGGGCGGAGGGGCGCCGTGGAGCTGCACCCGGTCGACCGGGCCGGCGCGATTGAGGCGTCAGGTGTTTTCTTTTTTCTCCGGTTGTCAACTGTCACTCCGGTTGGTTGTTCAGTCCTTCAAGTGTCACTCTTTTCTCGGAAGCAAGTCTGGCTCTTCTTTCTTGCACTGTGCTGCAGGAGACGTTTTCGCTCTTGCAGCTCCTGGATATCGCGGGGGCTTGGCTGGCATCCGGCAGGAGATGAAGGTGCTGACAAGTGGTGCAAATGCCTGTGACCAAAAGAAATCAGATCTTGCGTAGCCAGCGTGGTGGAGTGGCTGTGCAAAAATGCAGCTCCTCCCCCCCAAAACCGAGGAACAGAATGACCTTTTAGAACTTGATATGTCTTCCATCCTATGACCACAGTGGTCGACACGACTGGTTTCTCTTTGTTGACGAAGACCACTGTTGGTCCTTTTTCTCGAGTCGTTCGTGGACTCGAACGGCGTCGCCGCCAGTTGCATGGCTTGACAGCTGGTGATGTGGTCCAGCCCGAGCTCTCAGCGTGAACGCCCGCCGGACCGGACGAAAGAGATTCCGCAAAAGGTCTGCAGTCCGGCGAGACCTGCCTGACATTGCCTGACTCATCGTGTTTTCTAGTTTTCTGCCAGAGAATCCAACGTTTGAATGACCAGCCCTCCCCAAGCTTGCGACAAATCCTTCGATCGCCCAGGAAGGGCACCCTCGAAGGGCTCCAGTTGCTGAAGTGCCCGACCCAGTGTGTGCTTCTATGGTCTGAGAAGTATATATATATATATATTATATAGAACAAACACGTGTGTCTACAATACAACATCTACCACAACTACAGCCTCCTAGATCTCCTAGGTGCCTTCCTTGGTTCCAAAAATGCCCTCCTCCCAGGCCCCATCCTTGGAGCCAATCCCTGGAGCCGGACGCGGAGAGATCGGACGCCGCGGAGAGATCCATGGCGGTGAGATAGGATTCGTCGGGTGAATGGACACAAATCCGTTCACCATTTTCAAGGCCAAGCGGCTGTGCCTAACGCTTCTTTTTTCTCATGATGGTTTTATCATTTACTGTATCCATATTTGTCCAGCTAGATGTTAGATAGCGTGACTAGTACATGAGGCCAGACAGGTTTGACAACATTCTTGAATTGAACACATTCATGGATCTGGGTAGTCAAGGGTAGGACCGGCTAGGCCCTTCAAGAATGTGTTCGTTACTAGGAGGTAAATCAACTCCTTCAAATTCATTGTAACTACTCATTTTTGTGCTCGTTTATTCCAATACGTAGTTACATATTGTCGTGGATCGATGATTCTGTTGATGTGGCCGCGTTTAGGGTGACCAGGCCAAGCTGGCTGCAGGCAGAGCCACCGCCGCGTCAGCTCCCTGCCGATCCCGACCTCTCCTGACCACAGAAGCTGCGACGGAGATCCATTTTCGCGTCCTCGATTTTCGCCCGCCGAAGGGTGTGCCCAAAGAGTCGCTGCCGCTGTTTCGTGCGAAACACTGGTCGCATCTGACTGGGGGATCGACAAAACAAGCGCTCCCGGTGACCTTTCAACTCGGGTGGTTTGAGCCGGCCAACTCTTGGTACCGCAGCTTGGAGGGCTACCAGGTCTTTGCCGAACGCGGAGCGTGTGCGATGTGGCTCTGTCCTCCGGAACCAGAAAGAGAGAAAGCCCAAGCCTCAGCTAACCCGAAGGCTTCGTCCAAGCTGGGAGTGTCGACAGGCAAAGACCAGGGCTATGCAGCTACCTCTTCCAGACATGACCGGGTCACTACTGTAAGTAGCGTTCTTGTTCCTGATGAGTTCAAGAAACCCAGAGACTTCCAACGCCATAGTTTGGAAGAAACGTTGGACGACGAATTCCTTCTTTTTTGCCCTTTGAGACTTGAGACCTTGTTTTTTCTCCTTGGACCGCGCTTTTTTGCGTGAGGGCAAAGCATCCGATGAGAAGCGAAAACTTCTGCGTGAGGGCAAAGCATCCGACGAGAAGCGAAAACTGAAGGCCCGTGAATGGGAGGGGGGTCCTTGGGAGTCACACAGGTGTGTCAAGAAAGGCGAGAAAGGTGACTATACCCGCCAGCACTCATAAAACCTGTGCGAAGCCAGCACTGAACCACTGAAAAACAGTGACGTGGATTCAACTACCGATCCATCGGTTCTGTCCGAAAAAGACACAAATCCATCGGCACTTGCCACCTCAGGAGTCGGAGGAAGAGGAACCGCCAGATGAGACGGATCCAAACTTGACCGAGGCGGCCCACACCGTGCGACACACGTGCGACACATGGACTGAGGTGCAGTATGGACCTCCGGACCTGGGGGAAAGTGGTGTTTCAAAAATCGTCCGTTCTTCCAACTTTCATTCCAACTCCAGTCTGGGGGAAGAGATATTTCACCAAGTCACTTGTGACCTTCCATGGCCTTTTACCAATTTCGTTCATCTCCGTGCAGCATTTGCTTGCTCTGTTGTTTCACCAGGAGGAGCAAAAAGCTCACATTCGGCAGCGCACATGCACAGATGCTGGCACCTCAGTGGTGAAGAGTACCTCAGATCCTGTCCAGTTGGTATGCCCTCGATCCTTCCATAGCAAATCCCAACAAGAACCGTCCTCTGTCCAGGCGATCTGTGTGCTTTTGTTTGTTTTGGCCATGCTGGGCTTGTTCGAAGTGCTGCGCAGGGGGACCCAGGCCAATGAATTTGACCACATGCCACTGGCTGCGCCACTGGGGACTCAGGCTATGGTTGGGAACACGGAGACACCCGTCGCATTTACTACGGCCCTGCTCTCAAGAGATTCAGATGCCGGCCATTGGCTCGGTCGGCCCCGCCCAACAACTGACATCACCGAGGGCCTCCAACCTACTAGCGATGGCCTCTATCCCCACCTCTTTTTAACCCTTCCCAACCCTTCCCCTTTGGGGAAGAAAAACTCTCATCACATTCCTTCGCTCAGTGATGGTTGTCCAGCTGACTGACTAGGTTCGACGAAAACTCTTGAGGTCTGAACTGGGAAGGTGAAGTTTGTGGCGTTGATCCTGCTGTGCGGGTGTGAGTCTTAGAGCCCGAGATCTCGCAGCTTTTTTTTCCGACTGGTGAGAGTCGAAAAACAGAAAACAAAGGGTGGACGTGGTTGCGAGCCCAAGAATCCTTATTCAATCACGTTGCCCTGCTTGATTCCATGATTTTCACTCTCCCACTCTATCCATTTTGATAATCAACCAGGATTCTCTCAGTGGTGGGCAGGGAGCATTTTTCTGACCCAAGTCTGTTGAGCAGCACCTTAGGCCAAACCATTGCTCTATTGGTGCACCAAGCCAGATCAGACCCCCATGAGCGAGGTGGGGAACCGAGGAAGCTGAGCACGTCTGCTGGCTACCATGGTTTTGGAGACCCAAATCATTGACGCTTGGTGTAAAATAGGATCCATAATAGTTTCCAATTCACACTCCAGAAGTCCGGATTTCGCCACCAAACATGGGCGCCTCACACCCATCCACAGACCCATCCAGAGAGACGGAGGGCCCCTGCTGCGGGCCACGCGGCAGGATTCTCTCAACCAAATCGGCATCCCCACCGAGATCACTGATGGGCTCCTCTGGTGAAAAAACGGGAGACTCAGGGATACAACGAGAATTCAGAGAACTCAGGCAGACCGACGGTTTTCAATCTGTTCGGTACAATCTCTACCACTTGGTCTGTTCACCTGCGCTGCAAGTGGCTAGGTTCCTCTCTCTCTCTCTCTGTCTGTCTCTCTGTCTCTGTCTCTCTCTGTCTCTTTCTCTGTCTCTGTCTCTGTCTCTGTTTGTCTCTCTTTTTCTCAGTGGTCTGTGGCGAGTTTTAGGCAGTCGAGGTGGCAGCACCTTTAGGCGCGTAGCCTCTGTTGCTTTTGGACTGGCGGGATGGCGGTGATGGTGGTCTTGCTACACCACCGACACTCGCTACCAGATGTGTTGAACTGTTGTGATTCGCTTACACCATGATGTGTTGTTTTGGATGCTTTGTTTGACACTTCCATGCTTGTTTACACGTCCCTGCTCATGCAGTCTGAAAGGCTTTGCTCCTACCCGGTCCCACTACCAAAAACAGATCCATCAGTGGAAAAGAAGGTCAGGTCTTCCATGTTTGAATGCTCATCACCTCTTCATGCGTTTTTGGTTCTTCTGAGGTTGGGAAACTTGGTTTCCCTTGCGAACAAAGTCTTCGCACCGACCTCAAATCTGGATTTGCTTCACCCGTTTCTTGGCTGAAGTTTGGTGCCAGAAAGCTGCTTGCACACGGGCGGTTTGCTATGGCAACTTTGACGATTCACGTATCGGCTGAAGTTTAGTCCCTATCTTCCAACCCCCAGAGCGCCAGAGCCCTTGATTGGGCTTGCGTCAGGTAGGAAAAACAGTAGCGTTGGCCTCCAACCCAATAGCGATGGCCTCTAAAAAGACTGTTGCTCAGATCCTTGCGGTGCCAAGGATTTGCCTAGATGCATGTCCTCTTGACCCTAGCACTTTTCACCCGTGCTTGCAGTGCTTCGGCGGCAAACGAAGCTGCGGAACCAGCTGACTGGTCTCGATCGAAGTTGAGCGAGTCGAGAGAGAAGCTTCGAACTTCAGGTATGTTGAGACCGAGAAGCAAGCTGTGAAGAACTTCGATGGTCACTTGACAGCATGACGCGCTTATGCATCCACATACTGCAGTTCCAGTGTTTTGGTCCAATGTTTCAGTAGACCAATAGGGATCTGCACTGAGCTGCACTTGACAGCAAAAAGGTACTTTCTGGAAGAACTCAACCTTTGTCTCCCGGCTAGTGCTTTGGCAGCACTTCTTGGAATCGCTGAGTATTGATAATCAGACCCAGCAGGTGCTCTTCTTACACTTGGCCCTTTGTCTATCCATTTCTGGAAGACTTTGGGTAGGCTTTAGAGAGTTTTACTTTCTCTTTCTTTTGGTGTTATCCCCTAAGGTGCAAGATATCAAGACATTCACCTTTGCACATCGCTATTGCTTGCCACCGGAGCGGGCGGTACGAGCATGTTTAAGCCACTGCTGTTTGGGTGAAAGCATGTCAATGAATGGTACATCTTCAGAAAGCGCTGGTTGCGAGAAAGTGTTTTCCGCGGTCGCAACGGAAGCAGCGCAGACTTTTCTGTCCCTTTTCAGCTGTGCAGGACAATTTCTTTGTTGAGCAACTTAGCAGCAGGCAGGTCGCCAGCCAGGCAGGTCGAAAGGCCGCCAGTGACATGTCCGAGCGACAGGTCGGGTTTGATCTAAGGACAGTGAATCAGACCTTCCAGACGACCTCGACCCAGGCAGGGTCACTCACTTTGTTTGAGTCGAGTGAGCTAAGCTCGCTCGCTCGCTCGCTCGCTCGCTTGCTCGCTCTTTTCGTGAAACACACACGAGCGAGCGAGCTTAGCTCATTTTGGCTCTCCATATGTGGAGTGTCAACAGAGTTCTGTATCCAGTTCTTGTCACCCAGTTCTTGTACGGAGTCGCTGAGCTGGTGGAAGCGCGGAAGGTCTTTTTCATTGCAGGAGAAATTGGAAAATGACTGAGACGGTTTCATTGCAGGGTTCAAAAGTTTGTATTAGTTCAACTTGCTTCTTTGACCGAAGTGCACCAGAAGTGGCAGGATGTCTTGCAGCTGCTTGACTTAATACTTGCCCATTTTCTGTCGAGAGTTGATGCTTCAGAAGATTTGGAACTAAGGTAGTCGTCAGCTATATCTACATGTTCACCATTGACTGCTTGTCCTACCCAGCCCAAAGCTTAGATTGTGACTGTTCAAGGGCACCATGTGCATTGGAGCAGTCTCCAGCTACCTAGACTCACTTGCATAAAACCAGTGGTCCGTGATGATCAGTGACTATTATGTGCTGAAGACGCTGTTGACTAAGATTGCAAACGTGCAAATCAACTCAGTTCGGTGGTGACCGCGTGAATGCTTCAAAACGTTTCGACATTTTTTCAAGAGAAACAACTACCAGCTCTCAGCGCCTGTTTTGTGTGATTCTTGCGTCGCTCGAACACCAAGCTGTCCACAAAGGTATCGACTTCATTCAAGTCTTTGGACTGCTCCAAGGTGGTCTACAGCTTTCTCTTCGTCTGTACGGCGGGTCCCATGGTGACTTCACTCTACTTCCTCTATGGCGCCTTCTACACAGATTTTAGCCTTGCCCTTGGTCTTGGTTGAGAACAGAGTTCTAAGCTGGCCACATGCTCATTTCTGCTCCCTTCATTTTTTGCACCACATTCCTTGTCCACAGCTATATGGCTACATATATCTATATATTATATTATATATACATATATATACCACTAACTAAAGCTTTGCAGGTGATGCAATCAAGGTGCATGTGGGCTTTGAGGCGACTGTGCAAGTTTCTGATCTTCTGGGTCCAGCCTCAGCTATGTTCACTCCGCCAGGACTTCCTCTTGCCCACAGTGGTCACCACCAGCGCCTCGGCTCTGACCCTCTGACCCCGTTCGGAACACAAAAACGCGCGCGCGCGGAGCGAAGGCGACCGAAACTGGGACATCGTCATTGCCGTCGTCACCATGTTGGTCGGCATTGGGCCGCCTGGATCGGACCGAACAGAGGTGGGAGTGGCGCTCGGAGCCAACAAAAGGACGCGACGCACGGGGCTCCTGGCCTTACGAACGGGAACAAGGTTCGCTACGAACGGAGCATTTCGGGCATCGCTACGAACGGTACGCTACGGACGCTACTGACCTTTCTACGGCACGAACGGGAGCCGAAGATCGATTGTTCGTAGGAACGTCCAACGGGGCGCGTTCCGTTGACGCACTGAGGGTTGGTTGCTTCTGGTGCAGCTTGGCCAAGTTTGGCTCCTTTCCGATGGATGTGTGGGATTGGTTTTCATCCTTCAGGTTGTAAGCAGCAGTCCATCAACTTTGTCATTGTGGCGATCAAAGCCGCCATCCGAGTGCTGTATGATGTTGGGCTCCAAGAGAGTTTGTTAGTTTATTAAATGTCTTTTCTATGTCGCTGGAAGAGAAGTGCTGGACTTTCTAACATCCACTACTGTACTTGTTCTGGTTTGACCACAGAAATAATCCAGCTCAAATGCAGGGTTATACATGTACAGTCATTCTCACGGTGGTCCCTACTACATTTTGGCTCAAGGAGAAAAGAAGCCCGCGGAGCTCCCGCTAGGTTGTTTCGTTTGGGTTTCTTTGCCACTTAGCCTTTGGACCTGTTTTCATTGGGTTATCAGCCGTACTGGCTTTCCCCCTACATACTTTCCCTTTCCATATATTCACATTTTACCCTCGCCCGCGCGGTGCCATGTCTGAAGTCTTCAGCCGATCCTTTGGTATTTGAGTTTTCTCGATACGCTTGGTTGATCGCGTCGACGAGTGAATGCACACGAGGCGTCCGAGACCGAGGGGCGGCAAGAGTGCGAAGCGTCAGAAGCGTCGGAATCAATTCGCACAGGGCTTTAGCAATCAGTTGGAGAACATCTTGAGTACCGCGGACGCGACTCAAACTTCTTCTGATCTTGGAGCGGCGCCGCAGATTCATTCGTCATCTTCGAGTTCCGGGGTTGTTGCTGTGCCTAAGCCGAGCGCTAGTGCTAAGTATCAACCAGCGAAACCTTCTCAGAAAGTGGGTCCTTCTTCATCGGTGCGATTGGTTGATTGTTGAAGAGATTTCATCGGAAGAGGAGGTTTCAGTGAGCAAGGAGGTGATCGAAGCTGGTGGGACGGAGAGTGACTACATCTCAGTGAGGCGGCTGAGCGAAGTGTCACGTGGTGTTGATCAAGCAGTTTTCGACTTGCCGAGGTGGATTTCCGGAAGCGTGATTGTGAATAAAGTTGCATTTCGGGACGAGCAAGGCGAATTCTATCTTGATTCGGCGAGCGATTTGTTTGAGTCCTTGAAAGGTTGCGTGGTTCTTGACCTGTATAAGACGGTGATTTTTCCGGAGCGACTTTCATCGAGAGATTCAATCAGACTTGCAAAACACCGGGGCGAATTCCAGACGATCGAACGGGGGACGCTGTCGTTTATCTTTGAGCTTCAGAGGAACGGGTTCACTTTTTGCGCGTGTTCTTTCATCGGAAAGGCGGCAAGTGGTGAGTACATTGAGGCTTTGATTCAGAGCGAATTGGCAGCAGTCATTCCTGTGATCTTTGTTATTTACAATCGCGATCAGAAGGCCAGTCTTGCAAAAGAGCTCAGTGCGGTAGCTGCGATTGACGATCAGAGAGAGGTTGTTCGGCAGTACCGGGATTCTGGTATCTTTGCGATTGAAGTCAGGCGCGATTTTGGAATTGCAACTCACAAAGAGGAGATCATTCGGCAGTTGCGTGATCAAGCTGGTGGTCAAGTGGATCGTGAGGTGAAGCCAAAAGGAGTCCCATCGGGTTTGGTGAAGGATCGCAAGTGAAAGGGATTGCAGGTGGAAGGGGTGCGTGAGTAAGAGATCATACAAAAGACAAAATGTCAACAAATCAGACATCCAGTGGTTCGAGCGAATTGCATTTGGCAGTTGCAACAGTCGACCAATCCATGGTGAGTTCGGTTGGGGATGCATCTCAATCAACTAGACACCGTGACCTGGTTCCAAGAGCTAGGGATGATCACAGGGTAGCAAACCGCAGGTCGAGGTCCTTAGGTCCGTATCAAGCCTCGGATGGTGCCAGTGATGTGTCAGGATTGGAAGCTGGTAGATTAGTCCCTTTTGATTTGGATGAGGAAGAACATCGATTGAGCAGGGTAGGTAGGGTCCAAGATTTTGCCAACCCCAGTCAAGGTCAAGGTCAGAGGGTTTTGCATGCGCAGAGTGCAACCTTTGTTGATGCTAGGTCAGTCGATGCCAGATCCATTCAAGTAGGAATTAGTCCAGAAGCAGCCCAACAGTTTGCCGATACAGTTCGTAGTGCCACAATTGCAGAAGCAGAGTCAAGACATCACCAAGTAGTTGATGAAGTTCGGAGGGTTTCCAGTCAAGCAGCTAGGAATGAAGCTATTGTTGAAGCTGAATCACGCCATCAACATGTAGTCCAAGACATGGCCAGAGCATCCAGGGAACATGTCCAAGATGTTAGTGCCCGTGTTGCTAGTGACGTAAGAAGCCAAACTTTAGCAGAGGCAGAAACCATTCACCAGAGGGTGTTGGCTGAAACCATCCAAAATGCAGAAAGGGTTCATGCCCAATCGGTTGAAGATGCTAGGAACCAAGTTCAACGCAGGGATGAGTCAGTTATCCTTGAACTGCAGAATCAGGTCGCGCATCTCACTCGTCTCAATCAGGAACTCGTGGGAAGATTGCAAGCGGCAGAGAGCAGCGGTTCATTCCGCGCCCTGCCCGCAAGCGGAGGTCAGGTTGGAGCAAATCCAGGGTTGGGACCAGCAGTGCAGAAACCACCAACACATCAGCATGACGAATCTTTTGATTTGTTCGGTGATGATGAGCCGGCCAATGCACAATCTGAATCCCATGGTTCTATCAATCAAGTTTTAGCTGTTCTTCAGGAGGAAGTCCAGACCTTGAGAGAAGAGATGAGTAAGAGTAAGAAAGGAAAGAGTAAGAGGAAGTCTACTCCATCCAGCGTGTCTGCAAGTTCATCTTCATCATCGGATCATGACCCCGAGTATGAGAACGAAAGAAAATTAATGCGGTTGAAGGCTTACGAGAAAATCAAAGTCCCCAATCTACCGAAGTCAGCTGCAGAGATGAGGACATGGAAAAATACACTGATTTCTCAACTGGTTGCATGTTGCAGAAGCAGCGAGAAAGAGTTGCTAGCATGGCTCAGTGGCCCTCTAGTCGGTGAAGAAAAAGAATCAGATGTTTTTCCAGTTCTCAATCGGGTCTTAGGATCTAAGTTGTTAGAGGTTGCAAAAGGTGGACGGTTTGGGGTTGATTTCCAAGCTCTTCAGGAGAGAAGTGTGCGTTTGGGAAAGCAAGTGCAGGGTCATTTGTTGTTGGGTCGAATTTGCCGAAAGTTTCGTCTCGACAAAGAGCGTGGAATGAGTCTGAGTCAGCAACATCTACTGGCGTTGAAGCCCCAGGGTGTGGAGATCAAGGATTTGGAAGTCTTCAGGGATCGGGTTGAATTCGTGCTGTCAAGCCTCGAAACTTCGGAGTATCCTAGTGAAGCAATCCTTAGGACTTGGATTTACGAATGCTTAAAGAATGTCCCAAAGCTAGCGTTGAAAATTGATCGGTACAAAGAAGCAAATGCTGGTGACCCTATCAGATCATTTCAATGGTTATGGCAATCCATGATTGACTGCATTGATGAATCACAGCGTGATCATAATACCGCATCAATCCTGAATGCTCTTCGCTCTAAAGTCGATGCAGCAGCCGCTTCCGCAGAGCAAGACAAAAAGAAAGATAAGAAAGTCAAGAAAGAGAAATCAGATTCGTCCAAAGAAAAGACAAGTGTTGATGTTGCAGCTGCCTCGTCTTCAAAGGCCCCGCCCAAGGCAAAAGCCAATCCTAAACCCAAGTCTTCATCCTCAAGCCAAGCTAGTGGTAAGAAGGGGGATAAGGATAAGAAAGACGTGGTTGCGGGTGAGAAAGGTACACCATGCCTGTTTTACCCAAGTGGCACTTGCAGGAGGGACCCATGCCCATTCGTGCATGACCCAGCCGCCAAAGCTAAGTCAAAGGCCAAGCCTAAAGCTAGTTCAAGTGTTGCTGCCGCATTTGCAGTTGCTGCAGGAAACCTGCCATCAGCCGCCTCAGCAGTTGTCCCAAGGATCGTTAAAGCTGTTGTGACGTCTTTTGCATTGATGTGTAATCCCGGCATTCCAACTCCTGACAATCAGGTCCAGTCATTGCCAATGCACTCGTGTGAGGTGCCGTTTACCAGCTTCAATGCATCAACCGGAGAAGTGACTTGGTTGGGTGACACCGGTGCTGGCCGCAACATTGGGGGGGTTAGCCAAGTTGATCCTGAAATGATTGGACAATCCAATTTGCCAGTTACTTTCTCAACAGGTGGTGGGCGAAGAGATGGATCTAAGTCTTGTAGAGTGGTTGGTGAACTTTCTGGGTCAAATGAGTGCTACTTGCTGGAAAACAGTCCATGGGCTTTGTCCATAGGTGATCAAGTTCGGCAAGGGAAAGCATTCGTTTGGTTGCCACGTGATAGCCATGATGTTTCTGAGGACGCTGAGCTGCCAAAGCCATTCCTGGTGAAGCCCAGTAACCTTAAGGACTTAAAGGTAAGTTGCCCAGAAGCATCCCGCTTTTACGCCAGTGAAGTTCGAGAAAACGTCCCATTGTTCAAAGAAAGGGTGAGTATTCTGCATATGCCCGGGGAGGTTGATGAAAAGAATGATTTAGGTGATTCGTCAAAAGCCTTAGATGAAGAGTCTGATGGGTATGAGCCAAGCTTAGCACCAGAAGGCGCAGCAGCGCCGCCAGACGAAGAGGCTGTGGAGCATTCGTCGAATCATTCCATTTTACATCTTCCCAAGAGAGCGGATTGCCCCATTTGTCAAGAAGCAAAGCAAGACGCTGTTCCTGCTAGGCGTGTTAAAGGTGATCGAGTATTAACCGATAGCAAACCTAGTAAAAGCTTTGGGGATAGGATCCATGCAGACCACATCATCGTTGCTAAACATCGGTTGGATGGTTCTAAGACAGGGCTGAAAGGAGACACGAAATGCCTGGTCTTGCTTGATGATTTCACTAAAATCGTAATGGCGTATCCAGCAGCTACCAAAAGCACAGAAGAGTGTGTCAAGGCACTCAAGCATTTTGGTGGTAAACGTCCATTGGTGGAATTTCATGCAGATAATACTCCTGAGTATGAGTCGACAGCAAGTCAACTAGGTCTCGTGTATGATGCAACCGTCCCGTACAGGAAAACCGCCATCATCAATCGAGCCATTCGCACTCTCGAGGATGTCACCCGGTGTTGTTTAGTACAAGTAGGCAACTTCAATGAATTATGGCCGTTGGCGATTCGTTATGCAGCTTCGGCCTCAACCATTAGCAATTGGGACAAACTCCATGACCATGAATTTCCAGGTCTTCACATTCCTTTTGGTGCGTTGATCAGTTACAAACCCAATGCCCCTAAATCCAAACTCGGTGCCAAAACATCAGCCGGTTTGTTCCTTGGTTGGAGAATTGAGGCAGGGATCCAATGGAAGCGCACATATTTGGTTTGTGATGTTCAGAATGTGAAATCATGGTTGGAAGGAAAATCTGGTCTTCAAGTTCTCACTACAATGGTTGTTGTGCAAACTGGTGAAGATAAATTTCCCTTGCGTGAAGCCGTGCAAAAGAAGCTAGAATCCTTGGAGGATTTACCTGTACTGCGTTTGGAGGATGATGTTAGGGCATTGGAAGAAGAGGTGAGTCGCGAGGAAGTTGAACCAGAATTAGACGACATCTTTGCAGACGATCCTTTGGATGAACCAAAAGTCCATTCCAAACATGAAGCCATTACTTTCTCCAGACTAATGCAATATGGTTTCAGTCCAGGTTGTTCAGCTTGTGAAAAGGGAAAGGGAATCCATACATCCAGTTGCAGAGAAAGATTTGATGGGCTAATCAGGGGGGGTAAGTTTACACTTCCCAAGGGCATTGCAAAAGGTGTTGGTTCTTGGAAGCTTGAAGGTGACCTGCTTACTCGATTCCACCATGTGAAACGCAAGAAGCTCTTTAATCCCTTATTGCCTGAAGATCTTCCAGTAAGTGCAAAAAGACTTGGAGCTAGAACCACCGAAGTTAAGTACTTTGAAAGCGGTGTCGAGGAAACAATCCATGATGAGCATTGGAGAGGTAACAACAAATCACTCAAGGAATTTTGGACAGGTCAGACAATCTTTCAGCTGCATCCCGAGGCATCGGACGTTCCTGCCGGAGCAGTCGAAGCAAAGGATGGTGAGCTGCAGGCTTCGCCGCGCCCCATCCAGTGTGGTAAGAAAGAGAAAAGACTTGCCCGAAAGTTGTTGCCAGCATATGGTGTTATGATAGAGTTTTGTTGTAGCCCACAATCTAATCTTGGAAAGGTTTCAGAGTCCGTAGGAGTAAAGCGCATCCGTTTGACAGAAAGCAACGGAAAGGTTTCAGAGCTTGAAGTGCAATCTCAGCTATTGGAAGTGTTGGATTCGGATGCCATGAACGGTGTTGACCTTTGGGGATCACTACCATGCAACCCTTGGTCTAGATGGCAACACGTGAACTGCAAGAAGTTAGGTCCAGCATTCCGTAGGAAGCTAATGTTGAAAAGTTTGGAAAGCAAGAAACTCTTGAAATTTTTCTTCCAGTTGTCCGCAATAATCCTCAGGCGTGGTGGCAGGGTTCACTTCGAATGGCCAACAGGGTGTTCCGGCTGGCAGATTCCAGAGCTTCAGGATTTCTTCAACTCAAACAACTTTCAGCTTGCGCATTTCAATGGTTGCACGGTTGGAGGCGAATCATTTAAGCCATGGACAGTAGCATCAACAGATGACTGTTTAGTTCGCAGCCTGAGAACCAAAACATGTGACCATAGCCATAAACATGTGCACTTGTGCGGATCAAAGACACCAAAATCAGCATTCTATCCAATGCAAATGTGCGAAGGTATCATCTCATCATTGTTTCCCGAGTTGTATCACAAGTTCGTTCCTTGTATGAGTTGCGAGTCAATCACTGAAAATCCAGTGCATGTCCCAAAAGAAGTTGAGCTTGAGGGAATTCCCATTAGCATTCATGAGTTGATTGATAGGAAGGTCTGGAAGGACGACCCTGCAGCACTCAGTGAAGCTAAGAAGGAAGCTCAAGGTTTGATAGATGCGGGGACATGGGATTACAAGAATGTTGTCCAGAGGCACGAGCTCGAACACAGATCCAGGAAGTCAGGAACGAAGATTGCGATTGGGAAACTCATGACAATTATGAGTTGGAAGAATGCAGAATCAGAAAAAGACAAGAAACTAAAAGCTAGAATAGTTTTTCTTGGCAACAATGTGAGGGACGAGTTTGGTCTTGCAAGTGAATTTCAAGAAATCAAAATCATTCCCACTACAATTGCCGGGCTTAACATAAATTTAGCCTTCGGACTGAAGAGAGGAAACAAAACGACTCAATCAGATGTTACCAAAGCTTATATCCAAAGTGATCTTCAAACAGAACATGACATGTACATCGAACTGCCAGATGAGTTGATTCCAGATCACCTCAAATGGATGCGCAGACCATGCGCAAAGCTGCACAAATCGTTGTACGGGCACCCCGAGTCAGGGGGGCATTGGGGTTTGAAGTTCAAAAGCTTGATGACACAAATGAACGGTGTAGAGTCAGCATTATTTCCATCCAACTTTATCATCAAAAAGTGGGGCCTGTTGGTCACATTGTACGTTGATGACATTGTTGTGTCAGGTCCGAGAGAAAATCATCAATTTTTCTGGTCAGAGTTGGAGAAGCATCTTCAATTTGAACCTCCGCAGGAAGTCACAAAGGTTCTAGGAAGAACACACTTGATTCAGGAAGGGGAAGTGCAGCTAGACATGCATGACTTTGCAGAAGTCGCCTGCAAAGTGTACGAACAGGAATGCAAAGAGTTCAAAGGGTTCAAGAAGGCCCCAACCCCGTATCTTGATGAAAGTACACTTCCTATTGATGATTGGGATAGTCAAGGTAGTCTTGCGAGTTCAGCCGCCAGGCTAATCATGAAAGCCTATTGGTTAGCTAGACTTAGCCGTCCAGATTTGCTACATGCATTGAATGAACTCAGCAAACGTATTACCAAGTGGAGCAGAAATGACGACAGAAGGTTGTTCAGGGTGTTTTGCTATCTAAATGGAACAAAGCACTATAGGATGAGGTTGAAACTTGATCCAGATGCAGAATGGGGTCTGTGGTTATTCACGGATGCTGACCATGCCTCAAAGGTAGACCACGGATATTCCACATCAGGGTCATTGCTCGCCATCGCTGGTGGAGGTTCATTCTTTCCTATAACATTTCAGTCCAAACGTCAAACAGCTTGCAGCCGTTCGACAACTGAAGCGGAAGCCATTGCATTAGCTAGTGCATTGTTCAGTGATGCAATCCCTGCACAAGAGTTCATGTCGCAGTTGCTTGATTCACCAATTCCTTTGACATGCCATCAGGACAACACTGCCACTATACAGGTGATCAGAAACGGATACAGTGCTCGCCTAAGACATCTGGGTAAAACGCACAAGATAAATGTTCAAGGGTTGTATGATGCTTTCAAAGAACCAGACATAAGCATTCAGCACTGTCCTACAGAACAACAGGCAGCAGACGTGTTCACTAAGAGCCTGGAAGTTCATAAGTGGCAATCGGCCTTAGACATGATAGGAATTTTTGACCCAAGCAAAAGTTGAAATCGCAACAAATGTCAGAAATCGCAACAATTGCCAGAAATAGATCCGACCCTTGTTGAGCCGACCTTGATTAGTTCAGGTGTTGCTTGGCCATTTTGGCCGCTCCTTGGTAGGAACCAAAGCTGCAAGCAGAGGTGCCGTTCGTTGCCCTTGCAGTGTGCTGCTGGCTTTGCCGCGCCCTGTAAGTGTATCTTTCGCGCCTTTGTAAATTAGGTTGGAATATGAGATCAGTTCTCACAAATGAGAAAGTACTGTCACCCTTGTGCGACTGGAGAAGCGGCCAATGCACCCCGAGATACATGGCCAAACTCTTTGTACACAAGCCTTGCGTGCATAGTCCATATCATAATTTGTTTTCGCAGCAACCTAGCCTGACTTGCCTTTCCACGATGACCTGATCGTCACTTTCGATGGCCACGATGAGTGCTTGATCCAAACTTTCGATGGAGTGCCAAGTTTGTGTGGACACCACCCTTTCGAAGGAGGGGGGCACAGAAATAATCCAGCTCAAATGCAGGGTTATACATGTACAGTCATTCTCACGGTGGTCCCTACTACATTTTGGCTCAAGGAGAAAAGAAGCCCGCGGAGCTCCCGCTAGGTTGTTTCGTTTGGGTTTCTTTGCCACTTAGCCTTTGGACCTGTTTTCATTGTTGACATCGGATCCATATGCACTGAAAAATGATTTTTTTGCGTCAAAGAGCAGCTCAAGGCACTCAAGGCCTTGTACAGCTTGGAATCAGCAGTGGCGGTGTCTAGATGACGTGCTTGAAGTTTTGGGACTCAGTACCTCCATACACCTGGGACTCAGGTCCCAACTCTCATCCTCCTGCCGGCCGTCAATACAGCTCTACGTGGTTGCGTGTTGGTGGTCGCCATGTGGCGTCCTCAAAAGGGTTCGAAGCATCGAAGTAGAGGTCGAAGCAGTGACTTTGACCTGTTTTGACCCGGAAAAACACCACTAACCACCCACTTCCGACAACAGTCGACAGATGAGGTGGGGCTTTGCACTGATGGTGTCGCTCGGTGAGGTCGCCACTTGACGGAAGGGTCAAAATCTGCAATGGCCGCCAACGGAATGCTCAACGGCGATGAAAAGTTTTTAGTTTGTTTTCTGAGGCACCTTATGAAGGCTTTCAGCCGGGTGGTCTTGTAAGGACTTTCAACCACACACAGGACGAACGGTTTCTTGGTGAAAGAGCATAGGACGTAGGGTGTCAGTTATATGTTCTATTCCCGACGGGGCCCAGTCTGAATCAGGCTGTTGATTCTCTACTATATTTTCGCTGCTGCATGGATCTACGAGTTCGTGGGCTCAGTCCATCGTCCGTCCAGCATTGATTTTTTCCTGATGCTTCCAAAAGCAAACAGGGCAAGCGTTTGCAAGGCTTCTGCTGGCACTCCAGCAGTTTGTTGCGAGCTCAGATGTCTGGCTTTGGAGCACCTGAAGCACTTCTGAGGGTTGAATTCATAATATGGTGTGTTGTTTCTCAGATATATACTTACATTGATATTGACGCTGGAACGTTTGTTCTAATCGCTGCGCAAGATCACAATGTCTCTGGGAGACCCAGGTAGTGGCTTACACAGTGCTGATTTGGTACAATGCCCCTCTGGTGGATGGTAAGAAGAAGGTGCTCTGAGTGGGCAGGGTGTTTATTGTGTTCCCTTTTTTCAACTGTTGTTCTCATTGATGGGGTCAAAAGGGCATTTAAGTAGAGCAAGATCCTTCACACTGCCGACAGTGAAGAAGAACCTGAATGTGTGGAGGAAAGCCTTCCCCGGCAGGAGGGCTTGCTTTTGGAAAAAGAACGCGCATCAAAACGATGTGCTAGGAGCAAGGACGCTACTAGTAGCTCCTGGCCATACTACTAGAACAAGAAGCTATTAGGGGCTCCTGGCCTTACTACTAGGAGCAAGGACGATACTAGTAGCTCCTGTTCCCTTTGTCATCCTTTGCCTATTCGAACCTCTGTTTCATGGGGTGTGCATGGAAACGCGTTCCGGAAGTTCGTCCAGGTGCCTTGCCTTCCAATCATCCGAGCGGTCTTCATGGGCCTCACCTACCACTTGGGAAGTTTAGCCTTCGGGGCCGTCAGAGGACTCGGCGGCTGATCGTCAGATTGGAAGCACAGAACAAATGCAAGAAAATTTGACTCGGCTGTGCTAAATTGGAAGATTCGGAAGCAAACAGACTGTAAGAAAACGGCAAAGATCCTTCACTCAGCTGAAGTCTTTGATCGATGCGCCTGTTTGGCAAAACAAATGCAAACCAGCATGATGCTCGTGCTTCTTCTCTTTCACTGCAGCGATGAGGTCTTGTTGGCCTTCTTGCGAGTGGTCTATGTGCTTGTGAAACTCTTTTACAATCAGGCCCATTCTTTGTTTGCTTCTGCTCCACGCCTTTGTTTAAGGACACACCTGCAATTGTTAGGGTGTTGTTGTATTTTTCAGGTATTTGGTTCGAGAGCAGTCACAGACGGATTCCACCCTCTCTTCCAATTTTTCTGGGAACAATGGCCCGTGCGATGTTTCCTATTGCGCTCTTGGCATGTCCTTTTGTGGCCGCAAGCTCCTCATCCTTGCGCGGTGCGGGTTGCAGTGGCGAAGGTCTCTTGGGTGGCTTGAGCCCAGGGAGCTCTGAAACGACTCTCTCGGCGCCCATCTGCTACGGCGGCCAACTTTTGCTGGAAACCTTCTCAATCAAAGTCTTGTCTTTTGATGGGAAGCACGGGGTCGTAGACATGAAGGCTGTGGGTCCTCAGTCCGGCGAGTGTATCGGCTCAGAATTCCAAACGAATGACAACAAGGTGACGATCGATGACAAGGGATGCTTGGGAGACAGCGAGTATGAAGTGCGGTACTGCCCAGACCAGGACCATTTCATCGTGAAGGTCGAGAAACCCGTGGAGGCGGAGGTGATCCTTGCCAGTCAGCCGTGCCCGGAGGGAGAGATCTAAGAGGCTGACAGAGCTACCTTTGGGATGAGACTCACAGTGGTCCCATCTGATTAATTCAAGATGCATTTGATCACGAGGAATACGAGGGTTCCTCATGAAGCTTCGGCTGACTTCAGACTGATGGGTCTGGAAAAAAAGGGTCTGAACAATTTTCACTGGATTCGAACACAGGTCTGGTGAAGGAACAGCTCACAGACCAGAGAACCTCTGCACTTCCGGTCTTCAGGTGCCCGAGCCGTACCGCCTTCTGATCTCAAATGCCAGGCCAAACAGACCGAGGATGACAACGCCAACGCCTGGGCCTTAGGAGCTTCGCAGCTTGGGTTTGTGTCACCAGCTTCATGACTTAGGCGGTGGTCAAGACGGTGGCCGGCTGCTGTTGCTGTTGTCTGTCATGCTTTGAGCAGGCCCTCAGATACTTGAATCAAGGCCAGACTGTTGTGAGAATTCTGAACCAGGACCTTTGTACTTGCTTGTTGGGGGGAGACTTTGAGAGGAGCTTATGTGATGGTGGCCGTCAATTCAGACGGATATTGTAAAGGCGCTGATAGGCGGGCAATGGACTTGCTTCGTAACTGTTTGTGAGACCCTAAGACGAATAGGTAAGCAGAGCTGATGTGGGAGACCATCACTGAACCATCAAGCCAAACATCCCTCGCGCCAAGTGACATCATTCGAATCCTTGATGTTTGTTGGGCACTTAAAGCTCGAACAAAGAAAAACAAAGAAAAACAAAGAAAAACAGGGTCCAGCAACGCCAAAGCCCAACCTTGGATGATATTTTGGATAGTCTGCCATCCTATCACATCTTGAAGGGCTATCTCCTTGGTGGCCCGCGACTTTGTGGCGATCGGGGCTTTGGAAGGATCGACCTTTATCTTCCAGGCACCCGACGCGATGCGGTTGTCGACCGGTCGTGTCGACGCCAAGCGGTTGGCGACAGGGCTCGAGACCTGGGAACGCATTGGACAGGGACGTGAGAGACGTGAGATGGGATTAGAAGGAAGAACCATGAGCTTTCTGGACATGGAACCATCGGCTTTCTCCATGGATTTCAATGTGATTTTCATCCATCCTGAAGTTTTGCGAAATGCAGAGGCTTTGGGAAATATCGCCATCCCTGGGTTGGGTGGATACTTCACATACCTTTTGGTGTCTCGGCTTGATTTAAGTGTAACAACTTGGATACTCCCAAGAAAAACTATGGGAAGTCATGTAGTATCTTCCTGGATTCTGACGACCACACACATCTACCATGTAGTTTTTGTGCTCACCTCGCAAAATAACCAGGACTTTTGCTGTGGAGAACCCTCTCATTGGGCAACGTTGGCTGACCTGGGAACACTCCAGCTCCTCTTGAAGACTTGTCCTGAGACAACAACTCTGAACTCCTAGAGGAAAGGGGCCCATGTACAGTGTCGACTACTTTCTGGAGTGGTGAACGTTGGGGAAACCCCACCTGTGAAGAAGCGGATATACCATTCGCTTGTATGTGCTTGTTTGCGGTTTTGATTAAGAAGGTCTGGATACCTGGATACCTCCACCCAGACCTGAGGTCACACAGCTGGAGCAGTTTAGCACGCCGGGGGAGCCCGACTACATCGCGCAGCCGAAGCTGATTGCAGCCGCCTGGAGTTGGAGGAGTATTTTTGATTCATGGATCTACATAGATCATATATGATCATATATAATCTTTTGACCATTTGACATTATCCCTCAATGTGGCGGGAATTAGAGAAGAGAAAGGAGAAGTGCCAAGGGACAATCTGTGCAAAAAATGTAAGGGCTCCGCCCGGGTGCCGCCGACCCCTTTTCATCTCGAGGGTTTGGCGGTTGAACCTTGACAACTTCCTGGGATTCAACAGCGAGACTTGGATGGGCTTCACACCAATGCTGGCATTCAACCAGCTGCCGAGAAGAGGGCAAGGCTGCGGTGAGGCTCTGGGGAGCGTTTGAAGCCGAGC